ACTACTCAGCCAAATCCCATATTTCTAATAACTGCAAGGTAAACTAGTGTACATGAAGCCAAGATTCTAGAAAAGATTAACAAGAGCCTGTGAGTATGAATCAAATTCTAATCTCTGTGACACTGACTGGGGCGCAAACCTGACAATGGGCTGGTCACCAAGCAGCTGACCTATGGGTATGGCTCAGTTCCAAGAACCACACAAGGAATGCACGCATGCCGTGCCAAGCACATCAACCCCACGCTCTCCTGAAATAGCTGCTGCACGTCAGAGCCATGGGCAGCATGGTCCACGCAAAGGGCCTCAGTCAACATTTGCTTATGTGCTCTCTGCAAGCACTTCCCTTTCATAAACCCGCTAAAACAAAGGCTCAGGCAAGGGGGCCTCGTCATTCCAGAATTTTTCAGTCTTCATGGCTAACTACCAAAAACTTTCATGCACTTTAATGAAATCTGTCAAAGACCATGAAGTTTTATACAACTAAAGCAGAGAAAAAAAATATTTTTAGACTCTCCTGTAACTAGTTTTAAATTATTTTTAATAACGATCCTATGCCACAGACAGGGATATAAGATGCCCACAGCATGTTGGTGCTGCTGTGACAGAATCCACCACAGGCACGTTTGTGTTATAGGAGCTTAAGGTTGATTTCAGGTGCAGTGAGAAGTCTCAGCAGTGCTGGAAAAAAGGACACTGTGATCAGACTTGCATTTAGAAAAGACCCTTTTGGTACTGTAGGGAGAAGAGACCAAGGCAGAGACCCAGTCAGAAGGTTCTGTGGTGGTCCAGGAGAAGATGACGGGAGCCAGGGTGCACAGTGAGAAGCAGAGGGATTCAGCACGCATTGGAGGACTTCTGCTGCACTAGATGTGGAAGTCAGCAAAGCAGAGATCAGGTGGTTTGGATTGACTTGGCAGATGGTGGTGCCACTTCTAGAAGGAAGAATGATTATAAGAGGAACGGGTTTGGGGTGGGGAATTAATATATCTCACTTTAAGGAAATATGTTTATTAAAATCTGAATATGTCATTCTCTACTCTATCTTTGAAACCATTAGTAACCCAGATGTGAATTTCACCAACATCTAGCAGACCACTAAATTCAGATGACGAAGATGAAGAAGAACCACAGCAAGAGCTGAAATTTAATGAGCAGCTGCTGTGTGCAGGCACCAGCTGGTCTAAGCAACCCCCTGGGTGTTATCTCATGGAACCTCCATGACAACCTCATTTGGCAGGTCCTTACTTCATTCTCCCCACTTTAAAGATAAGCACCTGGAGGGCCAAACCAGCCTTTTGAGGAGTAAAACCTAAGCCTGCCAGCTAATGTCTTATAGCCCCTGGGCCCTATTACCAAATCATTAAGTAAACAAATAGCTAAAATGCCTGCATCATTAGAGGACCCTTTGCCAATTCACACCAATTAAAATGATGGGTATGAACCAACCAAAGTTATGTTCAAAGTTCCACTGATGATGGCCAATTAACAACTGGAAAAGTCTTCTGTACAGAGAATGGGAGAGCAGTGAAGGAATCTGTGATCCCTTGTCCCAGAGGCTCAAAATGATCCCAGGTGAAAAGGATAAATGCAGAAAAAGGTCAGGGGACATCGCTTGTTTTCTCAATTTTGACAGAAACCTAAGTAAATGACTCATTTAATTTTTCTTAAGTCAGCTATATGAAAAACAGCCATGTAAGGCCATATGAGGACCCACACTCAGCCTCCTATCAAGGACCGGGAGCACCCATATCTGGTACAGAGAGAATAAAAAACACCAGCCAGCACAATCAAAGCAGCCCCATGGTACAGAGCCCATGGAACTGGGAACTCTAGGTTCGGGAGTCCCTTGGGGTCGTCCTAGCCTATACATAGGCCTCCTGACACACTCCATGCAGAATCAACACTTACACTTAGAGAGGCACCTACCATCCACAGGAAACACGTTCCCTACCAACAAGATAGATTCTCTTCCTTCTCTTTGTAACAGGCACTCCCATGTTTCCTATTTAGCACCCGCCCTCTTCCCTTTTCTGTTAACCCCAATCTTCTTTTGGAAGACCACTTTCCCCCATTGGGGAGTGGCAATGCTAACTAGGTGGGGCACCCCACTTTCCTTCCAGAGTGGTCTACGTGGTATAAACCCAGCAGCACAGTCTCAGGCCCTTACACAATGATTATGTTTTGATGGGCAGGACACAGCAGCACACAGCTTACCTGGTCACTCAAAACAAACTGCAGGACCTTCCTTCAATGCTGTGGGGAGCCTGTTTACAAAACAGGGAAGCCCAGAGCCAAGGTAGTTGGGCAGCCACCTCCAACAGAAGGAAGCCAACCTGAGAGCAGAGCTGGCCACAGGAACGCAGAGACAAAAAAAGTATTAAGAAGCGGGGCGGTTTTTACAAAATTAAACATGTTCTCACCATACAATCTAGAAATCACACTCTATGGTATTTACTGAAAAGAGATGAAAACTTATGTCCACACAAAAATCTGCACAAGGATGTTTATAGCAGCTTTTTTCATAATTGCCAAAAACTTGGAAGCACCAAGATGTCCTTCAGTAGGTAAATGGATAAACCGTGGTACATCCAGACAGTGTAATATTATCCAGCGCTAAAAAGATATGAGCTGTCAAAGTCATGAAAAGACATGGAAGAAACTAAAATGCATATTACTCAGTGAAAGAAGCCAATCTGAAAAGGCTACATACTGTATGATTCCACCTATATGATGTTCTGGAAGAGGCAAAACTATGGAGAAATTTAAAAGATCAGTGGTTGCCCGGGGTTCAAGGGGAGGAAAGGATGAACAGGTAGAGCACACGGGATTTTTAGGGCAGTGAAAAGACTCCATATGGTACCATAATGGTAGATGTATATCATTATATATTTGTCCAAACTCCCAGAATGTACACCACCAAGAGCACACCGTAATGGAAACTATGTATGGACTGTGTGGTAATTATGTAGGTTCATTAACTGCAACAAACATATTGCTCTGGTGGGAGGTTGACAATGGCAGAGGCTGTGCATATGTGGGGGTGAAAGTATAATGGAAAACCTCTGTACCTTCCTTCCACTCAATTTTGCTGGTAACCTAAAAGTGCTCTAAAAATAAAGTCTTTAAAAAGAAAAATGGCTGGAATCCTGATCAAACCACATCTGAAGTTGGCCTTGCCTCTGAACGTTTTATTTATCAGAGTCAGCCAATTCCCTTCACTGTCTAAGCCAGGAGGGGCTAGATTTTGTGTGACTTAACAACCTAGCGCATCCTAACTGTACACCGTGCAGGGCAAGTAAAATATGCTGACTCCATCCTCTGTCAGTGCTCATGAACGATGATCCAACATCAGAGATCCCCACCCCCGGCTCCCCACAAAACTACCATAGGCAATCTCGAGTGGGACAGTGTTCGACAGAAGATAGGGCTCCTGAACTCCAGGCTCCCTCGGCCACCAGCAGTTCCAGGACAGACAAGTTAAAACCAAAATATGCCACAGTCCTTACAGGTGAATGCTATCAGAGAGGCGAAGCCAACATATTCTTTTAATTTGACAGCAAGGGTTGCTTAACAAATAGAGCAAACCAAAGAAAGAAAAAGCAAAGACGCTGTTTAAGACCCAAGAACTGAAAAGTGTGCAGAATGGGGATGGTTAGCGGAGGGGTAGCATTCAGGAATTTTTAAAATTAGAAATCAGAATTGAGCTCAATTTTTTTTACCCTGAAGCCCAGGCCTCAAATTTAATCCTATCTTAATACTGTTCTAATCAAAAATGAAAAATTTTAGGTGAGATTTTAAGAACTGTCAGTAACTAGCCTTACTTAACAGGATAATTTTATGACATATTCTGTTCGAAAAAGCTTACTAAATCAGTAGCATTTAGCTAAAGACAATGAGCAAAATGGTACACAAAAATTACCTCGGTGTATTTTAAATCACATCGCTTAAAGGACATTTAAACTTAAGAAATATTTAATCCTGTGTTTATTAATAAGTAGCCAATTTCTCTGACACAAACTTAAATAAGTGATCCGGATTTTTAATAACTCTATGAAAAAGCCCCAGCACTCAGGATGTTTTCAGACTCTTAATCAAATCACCAAGGTCACACGAATTACAGGCTTTCAAAATTTCACAAGCAGGAGTCTCCAGAACTAGCTATAGAGAAATGAGTGGAAAACCGAAGTGCCCTGCTAATATCTGCTAACATCGGCAACAGCCTCCGACTCACTGGCAAATAAATCTCTAATAACCACAAAAGGGATTACCAAGAAAAGAGAAGAAACAGGTTTCAAAGGTGTTATCAACTTCTCGATAGCACTACTTCATGCCTCCAAAGTTGCATATGTGCCTATATGCAAAGGCTGCAATCATTTCAGAATGCCCCTCGACAGCTGGGAACTGACTACACAATAGCACTAACTCATTTTGTTGGCAGGGGAAAAAAGGCCCAATTCTAGAAATGCAACCACAGCCACAAAAGTTCCCAAAGTATTTAGACAAACTGCTGCATGACAGCCTCCTCACCACTACTTCCCAACCTCTAGGAAGAATCTTAGAAGACCGTTATAAAACGCAATGATCCAGAATTCTCTAAGTATTGATGCATTTAAATAACCATACCTTCCTTTATTATTCCAAAAGGGGGTGTCTACCAGGTAAATCCATCTTTTATGCAAGAGGATACAAATTTTACTGCTAAAGAGAAAAGTATAAATGTCATTATGACTTCTTAAGTAGAACGCTAATGTTCCTGATGACTTACATAGCCATATATTTTAGTCTGTTCTTGATTAAAGTATCCTCATCATACAAATATTAAAAACATCTAACAACGAATGTGAAGGTATTATGAATAAGAACTAAACCTACAACACCCATAGCAGGAGTATACCCACTTGGGGTTGAAAGACAAGACCACTCCTTACCAACACCTTTCTTTGCTATTTCTCCAGCTCTTGGAGGTGAGCACAGAGAGAGTCACCTCATGTCTGACTCACCTGAATTCTCTGCCTTCGCTGTACCGTCTACTTGAGGAGGCCCGTGGGGCGGCTGTCTCCAGAAGCAGCTTTTGTGTGAGCCTGCCAGGGGGAGCAGGGTCTCTGCCATCGTCTTCATCTACGTCTTGGTCACATTTCCATTCCTCATCTTCGTTCAAAGTGGGCAGGTATCCAGGTATGCCCTTCCCTGTCCCTGACCCAGAGCTCTGGTCACTACAGAGCTTCGGGCTCTCCGAGCCTGTCCTCGTGTACTCCAAATAAATATCAGACTTGAGGAATGAGGGGTAGGTGTTCTCCTCCATGGTGGACTGGATTTCTGTTTGGGCCTGGTCAAACATGGCAGGATCGATCAGCTGCTTCATGATGCAGTCCTTTATGAAACTCTTGGTGGCTGGCTTGGTTTGCCTAGACACGATGCCATTGTTATCAAGGATGTACTTTCGGTAAATAGCTTTGGCCAACTTTAGCCTCTTCTCCTCATTTGAGTCACAGGGCTCCAGTTTCCTGAAGCCGCTGCAGGCAAACCAGAAGTCCAGCAGGTCCGCACAGTCCTCCTGCTTCAGGAAAGTCCTAAACAAGTTTATCCCGTCTTGATCATCTAGTAAGGAGTGCAACGACTCAGCCCACTTCAAGTACGGTGGGGTGGGTGAAGCGCTGCCCTCAGGCTCGTACCCCAGGTCCAGATCTGAGCGCCTTGGAGTGGCTGTTGAAGTCTCACCTTTAATCCCAACACCTTTCCCAGAGCAGAAGCTGTGGTTGACGGGCCTGGGGTCTGTGGACACCAGTTCACCCTCCTCACCAGGCACTGGGGGTCTGGGGGCATCTTCGGTGAAACTTGCTCCGAGGTCCAAAGGGAAACCCTGCTCTTGAATATTCATTTTGAGACTCTGCGTCAATGAACAATGAGCGCTGCACCCTAATACATCAGTACTTATAGCTCCAAAGTGAATCAATCTGTCCTGTTGAAACCATTAAGAGGACAAGGATTAGGAAAGGTGGGTCCATGGAAACACGACCACAGAGGTTTTCTCAAGACAAGACTCGCAACGATGCCCTCCCGCGTGAACTCAATGCCAGAAAAATGCAGTTTAAATTTTCAATCTTTCATCACAAGGTTTGTGCTATATTAAAACAATTTCTGGGAACCTTTATAACTATAGGAATGCCTCTGGTCTCAAGAAATGAATGCCCAGAACACAGAGAGCACCACTCCCCTCAACTGTCATTCTGTGAAAACATCGCATAGACCAGCAACTTGGGGACCTCTAATCTCAGCTACAGAGCTGAGTGACCAGTCTTTTTCTGCAAGCTCCAGGAAGGCAGGACTGGAGGAAAGAAAGGTGCTTCTAGTCCTCCTAGTTGTACAAACTTGAGTGAGAGCCGATCCCTCACAAGTGAGATGAGGATGACCACCCCACCTGCTCTGCAGGGTTGCTGTGATACTCAAACATGGAAGGGACAACATATTAGATGGGTGACCGTATCTACTCCCCACAGCCACTTGCCTTCTGCCTACCCCACCACTTCACACTCTGTGTGTCTCACATTAGCAAATGCATAGTGAGTTGTTTCTCTAACTTTCAAAAGAGCAATTAATTGTGGGTCACCTTCAGGATCTTCAAGCAAGTGATCAAAGGACACCACCCACATGCACACACACAGGAGCCTTCTCATACCATGAATATGGACAATCTTAAAAATGCTCCCATCAGAAAGCTGCACTTGACCTTTAAAACCCTGTGTATATGGAAAGTGCCCTTCGGATAGCAAATGGCAACTGCATACTGAGGAATACAGAAAGTATGAAAAAAAATGAAATTCGACAAACGCAATTATACGTTTTAGCTAAGGATGCATACAGCTCACATGATTTAACTCTGTAAGCTACAAACCAAATCACCCACCCTCTTACAGGTCAGGGAACCATCAATTTTGTTGTTGCTGCTACTACAAGCGTCCCTTGGGTATCAGGGAAGACTGTCCTGGATTGGGACTCTGCCATGGTCTTCAGTCCTCTCTGCCACATCCTACAGGATATCAGAGCCCACAAGCTCAGGCTATGCCTCCCAACCTGGCCAAAGGGGTGACTGCAACACAGCCTGCCATGATGTAAATGGTCTGCCTAGAAGTGGGCTGGAGAGGAGCATGTCAGGTCCAAAATGCCTGGAGCACTGCATAAGCCAGAAGAAGCAAACTAAAATCCTAAAATCTGATACCAGTGCAAAAGGTAGCTCTCCCTGGCCACCACTCCACGCTCTAGGCCCTGGCCTACATGTAATCCACCTCCCACACCTGCATTCTCACACTGCATACAACTTCACTTGTCAACAGCTGCCGATAGCTAGAAGGTGAGAAGCAACCAGAGATGGAGGTTGGGTTACAATTCTGTGCACCAAATGACATTTCTGCAGCTAACGACTTTTTATGAAAA